GCTGTGCAAAACAGGGGGAAAGCACACTTTGTGCTGTAGCTGGAAAAGAGAAAGCAACCAAAGAAAGCAGGGCTAGTCTCACATGTGCCTTCCATTTAATTTTGAAAACAATGATTTTATCAAAGTCCTTAATTTTTTTTAAATGCCTGACTGGTTTTCACACAGTAGTTTTTCGTTGGTGTGTAGTTGTTGGGTCGATGTGCTTTTTATCTCTTTTGTTCATTGGTTGAACTCTTTATACTCTGCCGTTTCAGTAACTTGCACTTTGCACAATGTAATGTTCAGCAGCTTACCCTGATAGACTGTCATTGATCAGAAGTGGCATTAAATAGGAGCAGAAGACTTCAGGGATCTGTGGCTGGAATGGCAGAAAAGGTAAGGAAGCTGATTCCCTTCCATTTATCCCCAAAAGTATGCTCTCTTTCTCTAAAATATGAACTACAAGTTAGGCTGTCTAACTAGAAAGACTACTGCCAGCTTTTCCAGTCCCTTTCTTATAACACAGAAACGGAGATTCAGAGATGTGCACACAGAGGAACTCAGCGCTAGATCACTCCCTGTGATCCTCCTGCTTTCCTAAAAGGCACCACCTTATGTGGAAGACCTTGTAAACATGGACCGGTCACAGAGAGATTTTTCCCACAGATAGCAAGAAGAGAGGATTTAAGGTCTGTAGTCCTTGCCTATCCATTTGTTTTCACTTGTAGTCTCAGGCAAGGCTGCTCAAAATCAAGTTCCCCACTCACAAAGAGAAGAAAACTGTATTTACTATGGGATGAACAAAAAACATAATTAAAGGGACATTTTCTAGTTGTATTTGGCCCAGAAATGTCTGTAGGATGTGATGTCAAATCATTATACCAAAGGCTGTTTTGAACTCTGCTGGTGTTAGCTCTGGGAGCAGCAGCAGCAGAGCTGGGGCAGGTGATGGAGCAGCCCTGGTTCCATGGCAGGATGGGCTGGAGCAAGAAGGCAGTCGGGGCTGAGTTGTTCTTGCTGTTCCCCTGTACTCCAAGCTGTTGGTGAAGCAGTAAGCATGAAAACTCTGTTCAAATCTTTAAACATCTTTCATCTGGAAAGGTTTCTGTTGGGAAGGCAGCATGTACACCTTGCCGTGCTGCTTAAACACTCCAGGTAAAAACAGGGCTGCATTATGCCAAACACAGCATATGGGGTGTGCGTGTGCAGCGATGAGGAAGGAGGAAGAAGATGAAGCAGCAGTGTGAGAAACCCTCTTCTCTTTCCTCCCCCACAGAAGAAGAGGCAGTGCTGCGAGTAGGGGAGAGGCACAGTGGGGATCCCACTGCTGCCTCGGTGCCCTGTCCCCTGCCACGCTGCCCTCCACCAGCCCATGCCACCCACTCACCCACGCCTGCACGAGGTGCCATGGGCAAGGTCACCTGCCAGCTACACTCATTAGAACAATTTTCAAAGTTGAAAACCAAACCACAATGACAAGGTGGGAGTTTCTGTGCCAAGCGCCAAGCAAACCTGAAAGGTTAGTTTATTCTTTAATGAAATTCCTGCTTCAAAGGCTCCATCTCATTTTCACTGGGGAACGGCGCTTTCTTTAAGCAGTGTTTAGAGGACACGGGTCTGCAAGGGTAATCATCCTCGCCTCTGGCAGGAGGAGCTCGCACTCCAGCGTTTCTGAAGAGGCTCCCTTTGTGAATAATTGAATTCGTCTCTGGAGTTCAAGATTTCTTTTTCTGTGGGACTGACTGCAGCTCTTCTTCTTAGGTACGGCTTACCGTAATTGAGGCAAAAAAATTGTATTGCAGTCGAGGGTTTTGTGAGCATGACGCATAATAAGGGTGATTGCCACAGAAAGTAATTTGTACTCTTCAGAATGGTTCCTCCAGTGGTGAACAGATCTGTAGAAAATAATTAGAAGATCTCCCACTGCCACTCATACCCAGGATAAAAAAAAAATTCAGTGTTGCTTAGGGCAGCAGAGGCATTCTTGAGCTGCAGTGCGCTGTTGGGGCCCCATGCTGGATGATGCTCAGAGTCCACCAGTTCTTGCCAGCACTGCCACTATCTAGGACTAAGAGGAGGACCAGTCAGGTCAACTGCTTGTCCAGCCCAAAAGAAAATGCTATGGTTTACATATCCTGTGATAACATGTGTTGCTTGCCTAGGCGTAGTTTCTTTTCCTTTAAAATCTCCCAGCCTTGCAGTGGTTTCTGGACTTCTCTCGAAAGATGTGTGTAGCAATGAAGGTAAAATCTGTGCATCCTGGCTCTGAGACAAACTTCCCTGATTTTTTTAATTACAGGCACGTCCTCCCTCCAGCTACCAAGGAGGTCCACTGTCCCAGGCATGTTTCAGTACATTGTCTCATCTCTGCCACCATAACCTGGTGTATAACATCCCACTGTGGCACCTACCTACCTGCCTGTGAGTTACTTTTCAGGAAAGGGGGGGAGGAACATAATAATTTGTGCTTCTTTGAGCAGGACCTCGTGTCTGGCTCCAGGGAGGAGACAGCTCCCTGCCAGCAGGCTGAGATAAGCAGCTGTGTCTCAGAAGTATTTTCTGATGTCAAATGCAGAAGCAGGGCTTAGCTGTTCATGCACATCCACATCAGCAGCAGGGTGAACTACTATTTCAGACTTTGGGCTTAAGGTAGGAATTGGGGCCAAACACAGCTCTGAAGTGAACAAAAATCCATCAAGCTGGGAGGTTTCTTCCTTGTCTGTCATCACTAAGCACAGCTACAGTGCTGTGTGGCTGCATTCAGCCAACATGATGCAACATGGCAAAATAATATTTTTAAGATGTTATTTTAAGGGGTGGAAACAAATTCTAAGGCAAGACATAGTGATCTAGTAACTCAAACAAGCTGCTCAGGGATTTTTGTGGCTATTGAATGTACCACATGGCACTTGGGCTGTCTTGTTGAACTGTGATGTATGTTTCAGATGAATAAAAAGGCGCGTTTGAGGCTTTTTTTCCCCTCACACAAAATACATTCTCTCCTGGTACAAAGCTTAAATGAACTGATAAACAGGAGAATCTAAGGTGACTGTACTCATGAATGAAAGCCCCAAATTCTAGACTGAAGTAAAATTTTCTTGAACTCTGGTATCTGCAGATAATCTCTGGGTTCTCTGTGATCTCTGCTATGAACTGAAAAACAGAACATGTCTCCTTACTATTTTTACTCCCTTCTGTGGCTGTCAATTACAACAGCTTGAATATTCTGTTCATCTTCAACTTCAAGACTTCTTGATCATCTGAGACAGATCTTTCTCTGTCAGATTTCTGAATGACAGGCAGAGATTTCATCCCCAGAGACAATTCTCTTAGCAGTCACCTGGGCATTTATCACAACTACTTTTAATATCTTCCTCAGGTAGGGGAAATGCAAACAAAAAAGGAACTGTGAAGCAGCACTTATCCTCCAAGACATGTCTGGATGGCCAGCACTCTTAGCTTTCCAGCTGGCAGCCTTAGTCTCCTTAAATGTGCTACCAAAAGGTTTCATATGCACAAGTTAGGGAAGTGGTATAGAAGTTGTTTGCAACTGCTAGTGCATAAAATAGTGAAACGACTAGTGAGGTCTTGCTTTTTTTAACTTAAACTCTCTCCCTTGTGTACTGAAGCTGTGGGAACCTCCATCCTCAGCAAAAGTAGACAGTGGGAAGGAAATGGAAAACGACTAAGATGAAAATTGCAGGTGGTGGCTGGCAATTTCCGTAGGCCTTGCCTGAGCAGCAGAGGGGGGTGCCATAAAATAAAAGGGGCTGACAAAGGCATCCAGGTCCCCTAGAAATTGTTTCAGAAAAAGGCATGTTTGGACCCAAGGATGGACCAGCAACCTGAGGAAGGTCACTGCTGGTGGAAAGGGGTGCCTGTTTAAGGGATTGTGCAGTCCAGGCCCTTTGCTTTCTCTGCTCTGGGCAGGCCACAGTCAGCTCCCTCACGAAGTCCAAAGGGTGGGTTCTCCTCAGGCCCCCAGGGAGGGAGCTATCGGGGGCAACCAGCCTCCTGCTCAGCTGTGTTTCCAAATACCTGTCCCACATCAGGAAGAGCCAGCAGATAACCTACATCCATGCTGTGTACATGAGTTGTTCTGCCTTGCTCTTTTGGTTTTGGGGAAACAAGTGTGATAAGCAAGAGCTCAAATCTGTTTTATTCTGAAAAGCTGCCCAGAGCAGGTGCACCTTGCATAAGACTTGCCTGTAATGAGACACATTGCTGACAGGTGTATGCCTAGTTTATGGAAATGCAGCATGCTTCAAGGACAGTTTGGAAAAATTTACAAGTGGCCTGCAATAAAAATAGGTGCGGGGACTGGCAGGAACCACACACTTCTACCTGAGGATCCTGCCACTACCAAAGCTACCAGCTGAATGAAGTGAGGTATGGGGGCTAATCACACCAAGTGATCTTGTCACATGTAATGCTGTAATTCTTCATCCTGAAGAAAATAATTAATGGTCTCCTTCTCGGAGGAAAAAAAAAAAAAAGTGAATCTGGAAAACTCTCAATTTACTTTGTTTTAGTCTAGTGGTATTTGGTTTGTTATTCTATTGCTTAGTTTTGAAAAATAGTGAGTGTAGAAAATCTGGAAATAGTATACTTGAGCTATTTTAGACTAACATGGAGGAAATGAAGCTGGGGGGAGGAGGGGAGATCACCTTTTTTGGTACAGCATGTACCATATATCTGACCTTAGTCACCTGGCAAGTTTTTGAGCTGGTAAACCAGTAAACTGCTTACTCTGAAGTTTATCTGAAAAGGCAAAGGAAAAAAAATGATCTTCAACACGTGTTGAGTGTATGCAGTGTTTTCAGTATCAAGGTTTCAAAAGATGTACTAATGTTATGGCTCTGGCAGGAAACTGAGGCTTTCGCATGTAACGAAGCATTTCTTTGAAGTCAGGCTAAAATGGTGAATGTAACTGCCTGCCTGCACAGGGCAGGCCCTTGCAGCTTCCTTTTCTGAGACACTGCCGGGGAGCTGCCTATTTATCAAAACTTCACCAAGTGAAGATGGAAGAAAGGGGGCTCTTCTCCCTCTTTTGTTTGCTCCTGGTGCACAGCATTGCAGGTAAGTGTGTTCTCCTTGACTCGGGAGGATGGTGAGGGGCAGGGTGCCATGTGAAAGGGCAAGCTGTAGCTACTAGTAACAATTTTCTGTTTCCTGACAGCTTTTTAAAAACCCTGGTTATAATGTGCAGCTAGTAAGGAGGAAATGGCTTGTGCTGACTAGCAGATTAGTTTACTCAAAATGCATACCTGTTTTCATCAGAATAATCGCTGAGATTAACGCAGTTGTATTTAGGGGCAACATCTCATCTCCATTGGGCAAAAAGGAAAATTACTTTTAAAGAGCAAACAAAAAAGAGTCTCTCTCATATACACACTCATACCTGTGTATGCAGAGAGGAGGATTTGAAACACTTGAAGGCAAGGATAAATTGTACACCTGCAACCCCTTAAATAGATTCTTCCCTTTCTCTTCCTCACCCGGCCTCTATGTGCTGTGTTAAAGGTTTGAGAAACAAGTTTGTCATTGGGAGTAAAACTACCAGAAAAGTTAAGTAAAGAGAACTGCATCTCCATCAGAGGGAGTTCAAACCAAGTGACCTGAGGAAAACCAAGCCTTATTTTCACAACTTCCTCCACCCACCCCCTCAACAGGCTGACCATGCTGAATGCAGGAGCACTTAATTACCAGCTAGAAAGAAGAATTTTGTAGGATATGCCTTTTTCCAGTTAAGAAAGGAAAAAGTTCACATATTTGACAAGCTTAGTAAGATACATCTCGAAGTCTGGCATAGACTGTTCCGATTTTCTACATCACTGAGGCAAAATAGATTTTAAAAGAAGGGAAAATATTTCATATGTGTATTTGTAGAAAATAAAAGTTCCCAAATGCAAAGAAAGAACTAAAAGCCTCTTCACATACACATGCAGGAAAGCAATATGATTTAGAGAAAAATAGGATTGTTTTTTCCCCTGAGGGTGAAATCCTCACTGAAGTCATTCAAAGGTAAAAGTGGATACCACCATGTCCTTTGTGGAGATCAAATACCCAAAAGTCTGAGAATTACTGTATTAAATTCCAAATGAAGCACTAGTATGGGTGAAGGGACAGTGTGTTGAAAAAAAAAAAAAAATTGGCATAAAATGAGACTATTTATATTGAGATGCTAACAAAGTTTAGAACACTTCTGCATTAAAGGATTTCTGTTGAAATAACCTAAACTGCTAGGTTACTACCATGCAACAAAAATTAAATTTTCTACATATGTAACTTTTTCATCCTAATATAAAATATTGAAGTAACTCTTAGTAGGCATTCTCTACACAGTCCTTTGACTGAATACAGCATCAGAATGAATATGAGATAACTTGTTAGATGTCCCTTGCCTGCTAGCCTCATTGCAAGATTGTTAATTTGCTTTTTACTTAACTTTTACTGATTCAAAACTTGCAGAAAAATCAGTGAGCACTTGCTATAATAAGTTCCTTCCATTGACAAAAATAGTTTTCAGCAATTTTTCCCACAGCACTTGTCACTCAGGCTTATTTTTATTTACCCTTTTACATCATCCCATCTCTTGGAATTCAACTAAAAGATGAACAAAGCATGCACAGCAAACAACCCCAGAGATTAATGTTGACTACGGCCATTCGGTAGCTTTGTTCTCCATGCACCTACTCTCTGTGTGTTTATGTCACGCTTCAGTGGTTAGGTCCCAGATCTCAGCTAGCTCTGTGAGGGTGTAGGATTCTGCCCTTGGTCCTCCTCCCTGTCAAACCAGAGTTGTGCATGTACCAGGTCCCTGTCTCACTTCCAGCTGAGCTGGCAGAGAGTGGGGCATGCTGGCACCCTGCAGGTGCCATAGCCTAGCCTCTGGCAGGGCATCCCCTGGCTCAGGCACCCCAGAGCCCTGTACTACATGGCACAGCTGACTGGCAAAGAAATTGGTACCTGCTTTTTTCAAGTAAGGAAAGTGAGCAGTGTGCACTTGCTGCAATGGAGAGTCAGTGCTACAGCTGGTGGGACTGCAGGGCAAGTTCCCAAAGGAAATCTACAGTGATGTTTTGATACACAAGGAGAACAAAATCCAGTGGAGATGGGAAGCAACAAATCTGTACCCAAGAACATCTGCACAAACTAATTTTTTCTGGGGACCCACATGCCCTTTTGAAAAAGAGCCTTTTTGTGGTATGGCTCTGCGGGTGAGATTGATTACTTGTCTCACTATGACTCTGTCGTCCATAAATTCTTCATCTCCTTGAGTTTGTCAGAGCTGTACACACAGGGGTTTGGGGAGTTCAAGCCTTTTGTTCATAAGAGAGTGGAAGGGAGAGAAATCAATTTTACTACAGCAGCAGCAAAACCAAGCAGTACAGGCTCCTGTTGAAAGCCCCTTCATGCCACTGGTGCATTACTCCTTTCTACGGCACACTAAGGACTGCCAACGCCCTTTATGAAATCAGTAGAGGAAGAAACCGTCCAGGCAGGGGCAGCTCACTCTGACACTAAGATGGACACTCTTAGGCCCAGCAGGGGCTGTTTAATAACTTGGAGGAAAAAGAACACCTTTCTCTGTTGAAGCAGCAGAGGCAACGGCAACAGTGCAGGGCAGAATTACCCAGCAGGGATAACTCATTTGTTCTTGCAGAAAGAGCTGGGGATTAAGTGGGCCCAGCTTCTGCTTTATTTATGTCACTTGAAAGATTTCCATTTTCACAGAGGCCCTCAGAGCTCCCACTTTTCTCCCATGAGTGCGACAGGAACTCCCCACCCTCTTCCAAGACAAGTGTGTATTTGTTCTGCCAGCTCTCTCTCCACAGTCTGTCCAGGTGGAGATCTGCTGTTAAGCTCCTCACTTGAAAACCTGCTGCTACAGCTGTAGGGTATTCATAGTTGTCTGTGGCTAAAGCATCGAATCAAGTCAAAGATGGCTTAGGAAAAATGTTTTCTTTAAACATTACTGAAAATGGTCCCATTTGCTTTTAAGGCCAGCTAGAAGATGTCATTACACAAAAAGAAGTGGTCTACGCTTTGCCAGGTACTGACGTAACTCTGGTGTGCAGCTTTCCAAAATCACACACCACCTACATAATACAGACGCAGTGGTCCAAGACTGATGACACCCAGCTTAACAAAATAGCTGTTTATCACCCTGTTTATGGCACCCACTACTTCACGTTTCCTGAGGCTTCGGACAACTTTTCGGTGTCCTTCAGCATGAGGAAGTGCTGCAGCTGGGATGTTACAGAGGCTTTGTGCTCCCCTGAACCTTCCATGACACCTGAGTGCAGTCACTGGGCTCTGCATCTGAAAAACATTACCATTTCCCTCAGCGGGCAGTACGAGTGCAGTTTTTCTACTTTCCCCTATGGGACAAAGGCTGCAAAAATTCAACTTATTGTCAAGGCAGAAGGTAAGTCGTTATGAATGAGATGTTGCTTTTTCATAGCAGGAGCAGGGGGAATATCAAGAGAGATGAATATTTCTTGCATGGTGATGGTGACTTGTCTGGGGTTTGCAAAGATGCCACTGAATGCTGTTGTCTACACAGTTTCCTATTTACCAGGCACTCTTTAGCTGTTGTTGTCCAGCTCATGATTAGTAAACCTTATTTGTCTGGAGGAATACAAAGATAGCTAGGAAGGCAAAAAGGTGATCAGATGGGTAGTTTCCATATTTTTGTTTAGGAGAAACATGCTGTGGAGAAGACTGGATGAGCAGCTCAGGATACAGTGGGGCTGATGATGCTGTCATCTCCAAACCATGCTGTGCTGGTGCTATGAGCGTGCAGCACAGAAAGAGAAAACACCCTTGTCTGGCAGAGGCTGAGGGCTAGCATCTGCAGGGCTTGCTGAGTGGAGGGATATGTGTCCCCACTGTCAAAAAAACCAAACTGAAGTAAAATGAAGGATTGTAGGACAATCACAGGAATGGAGACTTGGCTGCTTTTGCCAGCCAAAAGGAAGCTGGAAAGCAGCTTGACTGCTCTTGGTAAGAAAGCCTCATGGTAGAGCATGAACTCCAGGGAGGACATTTAAATTATCCTGGCAAACGAACAAATGGATTTAAGTAGGATGTGAATAGATTTAACTACAGATTAAACAACAGTGGCAACCATTAGTGCAGGAACTTTGGGAAGAGCTGTTTAATGCCAGTGGTGAGGGTAAAAGTTCACACTGTTGTGAAGATGAGGCTGCGCAGGGATGTTGGGCAAGCTTGTTGTTGCACACAGGGGGGACTGGATTTGATGACCCCAGAAACCTCTTCCTGACACAGGTTTCTGTTATCAAGCCAAGAGGGGTTCAAGTAAATTCAACAAACTTGGCAGTTTCAGTTGAGAGAGCTCAAAGCCAAAATGTCCACTCTGCTTGTACCCAGGGTTGTAGATACAGCCCACGTTCAAGGTTTAAGAGCAGGGTGGGTGCAGGGAATGTTAGGGTAGCAGAGGGCAGCAACACTCCCACCCCATCTTTGGCCTGCATCGGTAGTCCAGACTGGTGGCAGGAGTGATATTGGTCCCCATGCTGGATCACATAAGTCCTGTGCAACCCTCATACACACGGACGTCTAGCTCCAGCTGCTGCCTTGCTCCCTGGTGGAGCCACTGCCATACAGGAGCCAAGCATTTTGGTGCTGTTATCCCAGACACACATCTCAGGGGCAACCCAGCAGGACCTTCCTGCCCTGATGAACTTAGGCAAAATTAGATCCAGCATCCCTGCACAGCCCATAGAGAACGGGCGTCTTTAAACGGTGCCCGCTGGATAACTGTGTCAAGGACAAGGCTGCCACTTGGCTGGCTGTACAGGGGTGTGCTGTGGTAGGCTCCTCTTTAGGAAACTTCTTGTGCTTCACAGGGGGGAGGAGCTGGGTCAAGTGGAGAGCAGTGGAGGACAGACAGCACTGCTAACTGAGTGAAACTGTCCCGTGCTTCTGGTCTTCATGCATTTTTTCTCTGTCTCTTCCTTGATATAGTAATAGTGCTAATCAGGCATTTATCTGTTTTTCTTGCTGGTGCCCTTGGCTGATACTGACATGTTGAGAGCCATTATTCCTGTCTATATGTTAAATGTGAGCTGTTTCTTTTTCTATCAGCACCATTGTGTCCTTTTTTCAGCAACTGCATGATGTAGCAAGTTGTGCTACTGGTATCTTCTTGCTAGAGAGAACTAAAAAATTCAGTTTGCAACATACGTCTTGTAGATTTGTACTTTAAGGTAACCAGATATTTTGCAATTAACCACTTCCACTCAAAAGGAGGCAAAAGACCTTAATCCAGTCTACAAGTGGGATGGAGAAAGGTGTTAAGCATCAAAGAAGTATGGCTCCCAACTACATCAAAGTGAAGTGAATCCAGATGGATTCAACTTGTAGATACTGCAAAGTCCTCAGAGCAGCTGGCCTGCATAGCCAACAGGCTGTTAACGGAGATTGAAATCAAAGATGGGGGGAAAATAAGCAGTTTGGACATGTGACTGTGAGAAGAGACAGAGGCTCCTTACAGACTGAGCTGCTGGCGTGACTACTCATCTTCATACTTGTACTCTGGCACGGCACTTTTGCATGGTAGCTTGTCCAAGCCAAGTCTATTGTGCAGTTTTATTCCTGGGGAAGCTATAAATTTGCTCCCTTTGCCCTTTCTTTATCCTTTCTGCACTATCCAGCCCCTTTAATGCTTGTACACTCTGTGACCCACTGTGATAGCTGGCTGCTCAGCTGCTTTGCTCTGGTGGACAGTGGACACAAGCTGCTTTTGTTGCTAGGCCTCCTGGGCATCACTCTGGGACCTTCCTTCAAGTCCTCGTGGCACAGGCTGCGTGCTGGCATTGTCACTTTGTGCTTGAGTGCCAGACGTAAAGGAATTTACAGTCATCAGAAAATACCCACTGTCAATCAAAGTAATAGTCTGGGACTGCTCAATATTCTTCCTTCCCCCCTAGTTACAAAATAAAATATATATCTATTTTATACCTGTATCTATAAAATATCTCTCTCTCTCTCTCTCATTCTCCCTCTCTCAGTACACAAGCCAGAGCTGCCAGGGGAGCCAAGTTTAAGAGTTTCCTTGTGGTGTGGGCTCGTGTCTGCCCAGAGAGAAGAGGGAAGGCAGGTCTGTGCAGTGCAGTGGTGGCTGGCTGGCTGGCGTGGCAGCCTGAATGGGGCTAACACCTGCCACAGGGCCAGGGGTCAGGGAGATCAGTGCTCACCAAGGCACTCGTAGCATCTCTCGGCCATCACCGCTGCTCTGCCTCTTTAAACAGACATGCACATAGACCTGATGTTTGGCCCACAGCTGTGCTCTGTTTGGTGCATCACTCTGTCTTTCCTCAGGTGGACTGGAGCCCTGGACTGGGAATGGGTAGGCTAAGAGATGCTAAATTTTTTTTTTTTTTAAATCAGTTTCAGAGGGAAGAGTGATGAGTTGTCTGCTTCTGGTAGTGAGCATGTTGGAGAATAACAAAAGGAGCACTTATACTGAAAAATGGGGTTGATCTTAACCTGTCTGACATGCTGAACACCTTGCTTAGTGCAGAAAAGGTCTACAGATAACTTCAGAGAAATAGAAATACAGGTGCAGAAAATTGGTGTGAAGGTTTGTTGCTGCAGAAAAAAAAAACTGTAAGAGAAAAACCGAAGCTTCAAATTATTCTCCACTCCAAAAGGAGATATCTTGATCCTGATGTTAAGCAAAGGTTTTTATGAATTGCCCAAAAATTCAGGTAGAGCTGTGAATTGTAGTCATGAAACTGCATCTAGAATCAGATTCAGGGCTGTCACTTAACAAGTAGACCTATGGGTAATGGTTGAAAATTGGAGTTCCCTTCTAATGAAAAGAGTGCCTGTTCCTTGAACAGACTAGTACTTAGTATTGGCTTTTTAAGCACAATGAACATTGTGTTTCTGATTTTTCTTTTTGGGCTTTTGGTTGCTGTTGTTGTTGCAATGATAAAAGAGGAGCAGCACTACGTGAAGGAAGTGCAGTTAAACCACGCTTTAGAAATTCCATGCCTTGAGGACACGACCCCAGAAAATTTGTCCAATTATCCTTTGAAATGGCTAGTGGTAAGTATTTTTCATCTCAGGTATAAATTTCAGAAGGAACTACAAGGTATTTTTGAAGACTGAAATATAAACGTTAGACTTTACCATGTCCTGCAGAATCTGCTAAACAATAGACATCAATTGTTCTAGACTGGCATAACAAAAGGCAAAAGTACAAACATGGTTCTGCAACATAGGCAGAAGAAACAATACCTGTTAAAGAAACAAAGAGAGGAAATTCTACCTTAATTACTTTTAATTTTTCAGGAGTACATGTAGATCAGGTCCATGGAAAGAGGCAAAGAGTTTAGCAGATATAACAGAAGTAAAATATTCCTTGCATTGGATTTCTCAGAGTTTTTTGCTGTAGTGAAGCTTTAGCATCTCTGAAAAATACAGGGTTGCTGATTAGGGTAGTGAGAGATCAGGCTGCTTTGAAACAGAAAAAAAATATATGGGCCTGACTGTAATGTTTTTGGTTTTGTTAACCTCTGTGTCACAGATGCATGCTGACGACACGTAATCCCAGTTATCTAGCTAACCACATAAAAACTATTTTTAAGCAATTTGCTGTGAGAGACAAAGCATGTTATATTCCTGTACTGCATCTCACTTTATGGATAAATACATGATTTCATGTTTTAATGTAACCTTTTAGCATTAATTTCAGTATGTAGAAATAAGTATCAGCCATCAGTGTCCTTGAGCTTTTCCTGTTAATTTCTATCTAGTGTCACTGAGGAGCTGTAACTGCTGAGGATTTTCTTAAGGGTGGCTTTCAAATATATTGGGGTTTTTTAGGCTTTTGTCCCAGCTCATTATCTACGTAGATCTCCCCCTTCCAGTGCATTCTTAATATTAAAATTCTTAAACTTTTTGTGGGGAACATCCTTGTCCATGCTACTTTTTAGTGTTGCTTGTTCACTCAACTAACTAGCAGAGACAGTGGAAAAAAAAAAAACAAAACCAAAGGTCAGCACAATGCCATATGTGGGTTGCTATGCATGACTCACAGTATAGCTTGCAAATATGTACCAAGGCACAGACGCCCAGGATGTGCCAGCTAGACCTAAACCTAAACTGTGAGCTGGCACACAGCCATTAAGAGAAGATGACTTTTAGCTATTATTATCAGGTTCTCAGTATTTAAAATCTAAAAGGGTTTTCTTGTAATTTCAGTTGTATTTAATATGTGTGGGATGTTCAGCATAACTTAAAGATTGCTGCAGTGAGAAAGCAGCTCTGTTGCCCCCTCTGTCCAGACCTCAGAGATATGGACTCACAAGACACAAGTATTTATTCCATAGTTTATTGATAAGTTGATGACCACTATGGGTTTTAAAGTTCTGGGAAAGAATGCATTTGGAAAAAAAACAGGTGTTACAAGTGTCCACTACCTATTACACAATGCTAGGGGTGTGATGGAAGATTTTCATAGTGGGAATAGAGCTGGTCTACAAAAACACATGATGAGTGTCTCTGATCTCCACACATTGTGTGGGTTGCTCTTTTCACAGGGGAAAAATGGCAGGAAAGAGGAACTTGTGACCAAGGAGCCCTCCTGTCCTGCGGTGTACAGGAACAGCAGCACGTTGTATGGGCAAAGAGTCCGCTTGGGTTTGAATAACGCCCTGGAGATTTTCTCCACCAAAATCACAGATGATGGCATGGTGTTTTCCTGCCATGTGGTGTACCACCCAGAGAGAGTCCAGAAAAGCAGCACCACCGTGAGAGTATTCGGTAAGAAGCTTGTGCCAGCTGCCTGCTTACTTGTGCTTGGAAAGGTAACACTTCTGTCTGGTTCTGAAGGCAATAGCTTTTGAAATGCACTGGGGTGGGTGAAAAATACACATTTTCATTGTATTTTTTTCAGCTGCAATGAGTTAAAATGTTAGTAAATAACCTCATAGTTCTTAGGAAGAATTTGAGGTTAACCCTTCAAATTCTGGCATCAAAAATAGTAGATCCATTGTGCATATATTAACACCACTATCATGCACATTGCCACTGTCTCACCCCATTGTGTAAGCTAAAGTTGGCACTTTGCAGGTAAGCACTTTGATCATCAAGGTCTTCGTGCCCCAGTTACAAAATTACCATGCTGCCTTATGGTTAGGAAATCATGGTCAAAATTTAGTAAGCAGCTAAAGCAGTTTGGAACCACTGTTGTTGCAAAGTCACATCCTTGAAGGCACATGATGTTGAACTGCTGCCAAGGGCTCTAGTTCTGAAAACGAGATCTTCGCTGGGGTCTCAGACTGGCCAGGAGTGACAGGGTGCTGTACCACAAACACGTGGGCTGGGATTTCATACTGGAAGCATTCCTTCCGCCCTGTCCCCCACCCCCACCCCTCAAAAAAAGTAAAACTTGTGTCTGAGGGCTGTTGGTCACTGATGCAAGAGAAATAAAACTAGAAGTTAATGATCTGAAATTTTCTCTTGCGTTTGCATGACTCAGACATAGATCTTACTTTTAAAAGTCAACATTGCTCAAATAGCTACAGAGTTACATAGGTGATTGTTCAAGTACACTAACATACTTGAACCCTCCCTCCTCTCTGTCTCTACTGATGCTCTCACCTTGGTTTATGTATCTGTTAGCATAAGAGGTTGCTTTACTTGGCCGATACTCTGAAGTACATTGTCATGTGCAGTTGTCTGTGGATACACCCATGTCAGCATATCAGTATAACAGGGGAGGGAGGCAAACAAGAAAGCAGCCATGGCCCTTGGTGGTGAACAGCCTGTGATGCTGCCAGTCAGTGCTGCCTGGCTTTGGACCAGGGTGCTGTGCCATCAGCCTCTCTTGCAGCTGTCCTGAGGGCAGTGTTAGGTGGAAGAGCTCCCTGAGAGCTGGTTTGTGGTGGCTGCTGAGGAAGGTCTCTCAGACCTCAGGTCAGTAGAGCTCAGAACTTGGAAGAAGTGCATTTTTGTGCTCTTAGCTCCTCCACATCTGATATTTTGCATGCTGTCTCAGCTCTTCTGTTACCATTCACTGAAGCCACACTGCTTACAATTGCATCATACTAGCTTTTCTCCATTTACCTCTCATGTGCTCCAGCAGGAGAGGAGACTAAGAGCAGATGGTCCAGAGCCACCCCTGCACCAACTCACATGCCCATGCACTAGCAGGGCAGGAGCTGACAGAATAGGCAGAGACAATGGCCTGAATAACCCAGCAATCTCCAGCTGACATCTGGGGACAGACAAACAGACACTTCAGATGACAGCACCTCTCTTTGTGCCAAAGCTGACGAGGGAATGAAGAAACGAGCATTTATGTCCTGGCAGGTAGACCCAGCCCCAAATTTCCAGGACCTAAAAAAGACCTAAAGCATGATTGTAAGTGTATGCAATGTCAGTAGCACATTACATTGGTAATATCTGTGATCCTGGCCATTAGAAAGGATATAGCTAGAGAACCAGTGCCAGCTGAAACCTGGCAAGATTTTCCCATCTCAGCAAGCTAGCATCCCCTACACACTGTTCACCTACACACTGGTTCAGTTGAAGCCCACAGGCTGGGTGGCATGGCAGAAGGGCAGGGAGGGCAGGCAGGCAGTGCATTACGGTGCTGTAATGGGCTGCAGGAGGAGCTGGAGGAGAGGGAGCTGCTGTCACCTGGGGAAAGCTCCTTGTGCAGGATCCCTCTGACAGATGCTTCAGGGCTGACACAGCAGAGACAGCCCAAGTCTGAGGGGTGGCAAAGGCACTTCCACACAGATGCTTGAGGTGGCCTGAGTATGACTGAGAGCTGGGCAGGAATGGATAGGGAAAGCATGAGCAAGTCTCTCAATGAAGCCAAGAGTCTTGGCAGGTTGAGTAAAAACATACATTCAATCAAGAGAGCTTTTTTTTTAAGAGGGTACTTTTTGGACTGAAATGCTTTAAAATATTTGGCTTTTTTAGAACAGAGTTCTTTTAGAAACAAGTTTATGAGAAAGTGTACAGCCTTTTCACTTTTAACTTTGCCAAATATTGATTTCTCCTTTTTGTAAGAGTAAAACCTCAGCAGTAGAAATTACTATACTAAATATTGAATTTCTGCTAGACCCAAAACATTAGTAAATATCCTAGCAAGACAAACAAATGTCAAACTGTTAACAAGGGCTGGGATGTTAAAAGGAAAACATCTATTAGATCATTCTGTGCTTGAGCAGTGCTTGAGCACTGACTACCAGAACAGTTACCCAGCAAATTTTTCTGAGAAGGCAGAGGACAGCACGCAGTGAAAATGTGGGAAAGCACACCTCATCAAAAACAAAAGGAAGAGTAGGCACTAGACTAGATGCTATTGAGTCTCCCAGCCAACTTTTAGATAAGATTAGAAGATCCATTTTACCAGACTTCTTCTTACCTATGAAAAAGTATGTCTTCTGCCAGCTTCAATACCAGGTGTGCAGTTTTGACAAAGCAGAAACATGGATGAAATCTTAAGAAATTCATTTTCTGATAGGAAGAAGTCACACACACACACAGAAAAAAAACCAAACAAAAAAAAAAAAACCAACATGGAAATTCCATCCAAAAAGTACCCTACATCCAGAAATCCATAAGGCCATGATAATTATTATAGGTCACTCCCAGGCATAATCAATCCCTAACACTAGGCAGAAAAAAAAAAAAAAGAAACTAAAAAAAAAGGAAATTTGAGCAGTTCACCTCAGAAAAGAATGTAGTGAATAGAGGTGACCCTATAAAAATTAACAGGGTTAGTTAAAAAAAAAGAAAAAAAAATTATCTTAATGGTAGAGATTGAAGGGAAGTTTATGTCAGGAAGAGAGAGAATTAAGGACCTCCTAAGTATTCCAGATTAACTTCTTTCCAGTCCAATTTTAAGGCTCAGAAAAGGCCAGAAGCACAATTTATCCAAGGGTTTTGAGATTTGCTATATATCAATACAGTTTCAACAGTCCTTACTGAACAAATCTGTTAATATTACTGAAGACCAGTGACCCCAATGGCTAATTTAGAAATGCCATTTTAGGCTAATGATACCTGGTAGCTTTTATCTATACAGTCAGCAATACCTAGAATCAAAATACTGTGAAAGTAAAACACTTTTTCCATTTCTTGTGGATGTGGTCATCATGGACCTGCTGCTCTAGTGTGAAGGTGACCTCTGGGCTTCCTGGCAAGGCAGGAAACACTTGCAGCATGACACTGTCACATATCTGCCCTGGCAACAGGCTGTGCATAGCTGGTGCCCAAAATCAATCAACAGTTTTAGGGGTGGCTAAAGCCTTTGCAGATGTCTGTGGCAAACACCTGGAGGAACAAACAGGTGGGTAGCGATTTATTTCAACGGGTCCTATAAGGGAGGCTCTGCTGCTGGAGCTGGGACTACAGGGTGGTTTCAGCTCATTTCTCCATCAATGCTACCTGAGAGTAGTTTAGATAGGCAATGAAATACATCATGGATCTTGTGGCAGTAGCGGCTGATACATGCTTGCAAACCACTTCCTTGACCTCAAATTGGAGCTGTGCAAGCTTTTATCTTGCTAGGTGTATGAACGGTGTAATGGATAGAGTAATGAACTTCACTCACAAGAGAGAAACACAATATACTTTATTGATATAAGACAATGAGTTAACAAATTTTAACAGTCCATGTGACAGTCATTAACAAGATTTGATGGCAAGGCACATCTGAGTATGTACTGCACAGAGGACAGGGTTAGACAACTGTCAGGAAGACTCTCCTGTTGAGTCATGAGGTTCAGAAAGGACCTCCTTTGTGTTCTAAACTCCTTCTCATAGGGAGTTCAGGTACGGCTGAATTCATACTTAGTCCCAGACTTGGGCAGTTGTTTACGTCTAAAAGATTAATTCTGCACAATCAATCCTTTATATCACTTAGGTAAGATTTCAAAGTTTCAGCACATTTGTTCCCAATTCACTTACCAAGTATCTGACGTGATAAGGATTCTCTCAACCTCAAGGACTAACCCTGAAAGGCATCCTTACTCAAGGGGAGCACCTGGCATGCAGCCCACGGCTTGCAGGAGAGCTCAATAGGCTCTTGGCTGTGCACTGTTCATGAAGATGATAGAATCATAGTTATATTTGTGTACAAACTATAGATGTTATCTTCTTCCAAATTTGGCTTGATTTGGACAATGACCAGCACTGTGGTTAGGTGGGCGCACTGTTCAAACTAGACCTTGCCTGTTGTGTTGTTACCTGTCTCCCCTGAGTCCACTTCGAGCCAGATGTAGCCATCACAACTGGACACAGCCACTAGTGCTTATCACTTGAGCAGGAAGGGAAGAAGCACATCATCACAGGTAGATGCAGGATTTAGTTTCCATTCTTTTACTGAAACAAGGCTGCTAAGTCTTATTAGAAGCTGTTACTGTAACCTTTGGTAACCATTTCACTAATACATTTGTTTACATTCCAGCCTACCCTGAAATCTCTGTCAGCCTGCAGGAGAGCTCAGCTGGCACCTTGCAGAAGGTGAGCAATTTTGGAACAAAGAGTAGCACCTGTGACCACCACCACAGCACAGTTAGGCAAGCTAAGCCAGATCACAGGCATGACCTCCAAGCTGACTAAGCTCACGGGGTGATGGGCAAGTCAATGAGTTAATGTCAGCAGTTCACATCCTTTCTTTTGTGTGATTCCCAACCCCACAGCATGTGAGCTGCTTCAGTGAGCACAAACTGGAGCTAAGGGCTTCTCTGTGTTGTGGGCAAAATACGCTTTTGTGTTAACCCTAGGGAAGGCTCCAGGTCAGGATCTAGAGGCTGTGAGGGGCTGATGATGTTTCAGGGGGCTGTGATGCTCCCTTTCCCTCCCCATGGGCCAGCTACCACCAGGCAGCCTTGAGCTGCCCTCTCCACATTGCTTAAAAGTCCCCTCCCCTCCCTCCGCCGAAGAAATTCACCCACTACCCAGGATGCTGCTCCAAGGTGCCAGGCATCACAAGCATCTGCCTGCCACACTGTCCCCCTGGGGACAGGGAGGAGCAGGTACTCTGGGAGTGATGCCTGATGGGTGTCCCTGGAAACGTGATGATGTCAGATGTAATATGTCATGCTGCTACCAGAACTCAGCTGGAGAACTCAGAAGCTGAAGGAGCAACTGGATCTAAGTCTGAGGGCCCCTATCTAGAGCTGAGCAGTTACACATGTGTTTTGGGGGCCTCTGTTTTATCGTGTGCATGGTAATAGCAAAACCTAAAGGTCTGCTGTACCAAACTGGCCATAAAACATAAAACTTGGCATAAAACATATTTGTGGCCCCTATGACTGACTAGCATGCCACTCTGGCTACTAGTCATGGTACTTTTCTTCTTGTTGCATTCATCCAGGTTGAAGCCTTTGATCTATAAGTATCTCAAATTAAGAAAGTTTTACACTATGACTTCAGAAAGAGTTTCAGCTGGGTAGTTTCAGTCTTCATACTGAATGATTGACTTCTGCTGGCTGCAAGGCATCATGCTTGCTTTCAACTAGATGTGTGAGCCACGTTCTTCAAAAGTGGGAGCAAGAGGGCTTTGTGCTGTGTGATGGGTACATGCTTTTTACTTTTTTTCCCCTTCTTTTAAATGGACAAGGCAATTTCTCTTAGTGCCATAAGCTGTTAAATAATTGAGAACATCCAGGCAGCATAAGGATGAGACCTCCCATCCTGCTAGTACCCAGCCCTTCAGCCAGCCTTGATTTTGAAGTTCTTCCTATCTATTGTTTGATGAGAAATCAAACTGAGCACCAACACAGATTTTGAAGCAATTGGCATACAGCCGGGACTACTACATCTAGAGCATGCAATTCCTTGTGGATTCTGGAAACCCCTTACATATTGTGTCCTCCACAAAGGTATCTCATTTTTTATACCAAACATATAATTGTGCTAGGCAGTCTTCTTCATGGGATTAATCTCTTTATCTGCCTAACTAAGGAAGGATTTACCTGGCAGTCAGAAAGAGTCCCATTCTCCACACACAGACCGTGCCCATTACTGATTCCAGCATGTCTCCATACAAGTGTTTGCCACTGAGGTGCTGGGCTAGGGACAGGAGGGTGTGTGCGGCGGGCCACTCTACATCTCTCCAGCCACAGCACAGGACTGGAGGGTGTTGGAGCCTCATTACCCGCCTGGCCCAGGGCAATGGGAGTGTCCCTGAGCTCTCATTCAATGGTGTCTGCAACCAGAAAAAATGGGGGGAAAGAAACACAACAAAGAGGCAGCGAGTGCTTCCTTCCCAAGTGGGGGGTCTGTCTATAAGGGATTTTGGAAGCTGGCGGCTGGGTGAGAATTGACAGAGGCTAACAATTGGATTTTACTGCCCTACAGCCCAACGTGAGCTGTGTGGTGAGGAAGGCATTTCCCAAGCCAAGCCTCCTGTGGTACGTGGACAGAGCCAGCCTGACGGAGCAGCCTGGAGGTAATGCGACCTGTCACTAGGACAACAGCACAGCTGTAGAAGTGGTTCCCAAGAAGAGTGATGGTTGCTCGTCCGCTCCTTCCACAGCGAGCCTCTAGGTGCCTGTTTGGGTGGAGGGGAGAGTATCAGGCCTTCTCAAGGGGAACAGCTGGTGAACAGCCATGACCATAGCCTCCTGTCATTGCCAGTGATGGGAACGATGGCTTGGCATAACCACGCTGTTCTTGCTAAATCTTTGATACCATCTCATCAGAGAAGCCTGCAGCCATATGCGCTTGCTTTTCAATACCAATATTTTGCACAGCTCTGATTTATAGTTTGGAGTGCAATGAGAGGGTCTTGCAGCTTTTCTTTTTTTTTTTTTCCCCCAAGAAATTTCTGTTGAACAGGAAGACTTTCAAGACAGTGAAGGTTTCTATCAGCTGAGATCAACACTGATGTTGCAAGGGAGCCACCAGACACATAAGACATTCTCATGTGCATGTCTGTTTTCCTTCCTTGGGAATGAAACATGGAATATTTCATCAGAAGAAATATTTGTTTCCTTCGGTAGGTTTTTCATAAATGGGACACATCTGAAACATAAAATGTTAAGAGCACTGAATGTGTGTATTCTCTGTTATTTAAAAGCTTTATTGTAAAAGTTCATCACAGAGCTTGAACTTTTGGGTACTTTTTTTTAGCTCAAGTCTTTTCTAAAGCCTCTAAATGAGCTAAGAAACTCCTGCACAAACATAAGATGTTTGCTCTTTGTTTAGGCAGTATCTCGTTGCACTTCCCATGGCCAAAAATACACTAGGTTAGCCACATGGTACCAGTGAGCTATTATAGCCACGTTCCTCACTGAGCACTCCTGGCAGAAAGTCTGCATGTGTGCAGCCCTCTGGAAAATCAAACCCTCAAGAGTCAGAGCCTCTGGCCCCTCAGCAGCCTCCATGGCTATGTCGTATACCGTGGTGACTACTTGCAGCCCAGCTCTGCTCACTTGTGGCTGTGGATACACTTATTGATATTCTTTTCCACAAAGACAGACTGCATCAAAAGCCAGAGCTCAGTCTTCCGGAAATGTAGCTTCAGAGGGAAGGTCAATAAATGATCGTTTTTCTCCAAAATGAGTCATTTCACCTAATTTGCAGTTTTGTTGAAATGTATTCAAATTAAAGAGCTGTCAATTAAAGCAGTCTATGCTCTTGCCTGCAGGCTATGCTAATGTCAAGATAGATCCACTCTGTATAAAAATGTTAATGCATTTAGATGTGACAGAAAGGAAAGAATTAAATTAATTCTCAGCTATATTCTGTGAAGATGCTGTACTAATGCACAGTATGACACAAATCCCAAACTAAATTTTCAGCCTTTGTAGCAAAAACCTAACTACTTTTAGGAACTGCTTTAATCTTTTTTCTTTTTTTCTTCACAGACAATAAGTCTAATGAGACCTTATCCAAAGCTTTTACCACCATGGCTTCAGAAGGTGGGATAAATTAGAGAACTAAATAACTTGGGTTATATTAGAGGTACACCTACAGATTCTAAAGCTATTAGGGATAAGTTAGAGAACTAAATAACTTGGGTTACATTAGAGGTACACCTATAAATTCCTAAAGCTGTCAGAGAAATGGTTTTGCAAACTTGTTTCTGTAGGAATAGTAAGGTACCTTTTTCTGCAGCTAATAACTTCAGAGAAAATACAATAAACAGATCTTTTTTGTGTTGTAATCTTTCATTAAGACCAAGCATAATGAAATTCCAGGCTTGAGAAGCACTTAATGTTGTTTCTGATGCTTAGCTGGCATTTGAATGAATATAGCTCTTTGAGCACCAAACTCATAATTAAAAATAACAGCCCTACTAACAGTTCTACCTTCTGCTTAAATACATAGCCAAGATCGTCAACACTTTTGCCTAATTAAAGAACTGATGGGATGTTTCTTAATTTGTGTAAATTTGCTATATCCGTGCTCTGCCCCTGCAAGTTTGTCTTCTTATCAGCTTACTGCAGACTGACAAATCACTCCCCCCACACCTCAGCTGAAGTTCTTTGGAAACACCTCTCCTTCAGGGGCTTGCTCTGCTCCCCACAAGAGGCAGCTTCATTTCAGCACCAGGTTATGTTCGAGAAACACTGCAGACAAATGGCATAGAAAGAAATGTGGTTTTCAATGTAATCTCGCTTCTATGAGTGCAGGTTGTGACAGGCCCTGGGGATTTAGCCAATACCCTGCTGGGCACCAGAAAGCCATCCCAAGTCCCTGAGACAGAAAGACATTGCCCTCCACTGGCCTCTGCAAGATGACCTTTTGAAGCAGCCCTTGTGGCTTGTAATCAGTCATCACCCTGCCTTGCTTTGCATACTCTGAAGAAATGTCCTAGCAGCTAGGCACACCTTGGGGTGCCCACTACCCTGGTTTTCAGACCTGCTGCATCTTTGGTAAGGAGTCCTGGTACATCAGCCAGCTATGAAATCCCTGCTAGCACAGGCGAGGCTAAAATGGAATTCAAATGCAAGAGCAACAACTCAAAACAGTCAAAAGAGGTACAAACGCTTGCAAAGGAAAGCAGCTGGAGAGCTGATGGTTACCTGCTTGTGCTGAGATCCTATCTGCAGAGGGTTACTCCCTGTGCTATGTCCTCCCAGCATGCCCAAGCAGACAGAGGTACCTTCTGGCTGCCTTCCCATGTATGTTTATCTAATGGTGTGTAAGAGCCTTTATAAATCACCTCCTTCATGGAGGCCTTTGGGGAGGTGTAATCCTTCCTCCTAACCTAATCAGAAGGTACATTACCTCACCTCCTGGAGAAGGAAAAAAAAATTACATCTCAGGATGTAATGCTGCTTAGGCAGGACAGCATCTCTGCTGTGCTTGGCTGGCTGCTTAACAGTCCTTCAATTACAAGGAATAACTCCCTCTCCTCTGCTCTGAGGATTCAGTGAGCACTTTTCAGTGCAAAGTGTACCTGAAATTCCCTGTCAGAGTTGCTGTCTCTGAAATGCCTCATGGATCGAGCTATGCAGGTGCTACTACTAGGTCATATGTGTTATTTCAACATGAGTGCTAGTAGGGTGTGTCTGTTTGTATGGGATAAAACCATGTAACTCACTTCTGCTGTTTGAATTGAGGTGCCAGGGGCTCCAAAACCCTTTTTCCCCAAAACCTTTGTTTCCCTAGGGATTTCACAGCACAGTTACCTCAGGCGCTCCATGTTTCTTGCTGGACCACTTGTCTGAGTCATGCATTGAAAGGTTATTTGCAAATTAAGTGTGATGTACTCTCTTAGTCTTGAACCTTTGAGTCACCCACTTTCCTAAAGCAGAATAAACACTTTTTTTTTCACCCTGCATAACAATGTTTGCTTTGATATGTTACAGACCTTGCAAATTCAGCACTTCCATCAGCTGTCATGACCACCTCAGGTAAGGGGAAAAAAAAGCTTCTCTATTACCCAGTCAATATATGTAGGATCCCTGCTTGATCACTGCTTAGATGTCATGGACACAGAGCCAGAGGCATGCCAGAGAAAGTCTAGTGTGCTCTGGTACTGATGGTACTTCTCTGCTGCTTGATGGGAAGTTATGAACCATGAAGATACCCAAGAAGAGATCAGACACAAATTGTGATAAACTCTTATATTAGGATAGTGTGTAAAATGGTGTGCTGGATATCACATATTATTCTTAGGCTTTTTTATAAAATGAAATAAAACCACATCTACAACTATGAATAAATTTGTCCTTTTATGACAGAGGGGTGTATGTGATAGACAAGTTAAACCCACCACTTTTCCTTGACCTAGCACTAGTGCATCATTGCTATTCATTAATTATATAGGATAAGTAACACTGCTTTAACAGAGCATGCCCATCGATAGCTATATAAAGCCATCTTCAGCACTTGAGAAGAAAGCTTGCAAGAACAGGTGATCTCCTGGCTGCTGCATGTTGCCAGGACCATTTCTGGCCAGGCCCTGGCTATGCAGAGGAGCACCATCATCAAGTGCATAAAAATCCACTCCCCAGCAGTTAAACTGAACCCTGTGTATAAAACCATAAATAAATAAATAACACACACAGCTAGCCCACATGAAAGAGTCAGCACTGATAACATCAGCCATCTCTGAGTGCCCCTTGAATTTATGGGATGTGTTCTGAGCATTTAACCTTAACTCTTGACAGTGGGATTCCTGCTGCAGAGTCTACGTTTACTCAACAGCTACTGCAAACTCTTTGATCCAGGTTGTTTTATGAGTGATTAATATTATTTTTAAAAGACCCTATTGACTAAATGTGATACCGTGTAATCTGTTTGTCTTTAGAGCACCAACCAACATCTTCAGCCTCTCTGGATTTCACAAGTCAAGCAAGCTTAGCTCCTGTTTCCACAACACAAGGTGATCAAATCAGCCAAAATGTTTTCTCTGTTAATTCAAGAACATAGGAGAAAGATACATAAACACGATAGCCATCTTGCATTTTTTTCTAGCAAACGACTTAATGTCCACTGAAGCTCGTCTCCTAGTTAATTATACTCTAGGATGTCTACAGTTCAAAAATATATATACAAGAAGGTGCTGTCTTGATTTTTTCTTTTTTAGTGCTCTGTTCAGGAAATATGCATTTATTTCAGTGTGTGACTAGACATTGAGTATATACTTCTACAAGACTTAATTCTTTGTATATTTTTAACTAAACATCATACAAAAATGGAATTATATTAGAGCTAGAAAAAGTGCAATCCAAACACTGAAGCACAGGAGTACGAATATAAAGCACTGATAAACAAAATATGTACAGCAGGTGACTCAACTCGGTGATTTCTTCTCCGGGCAGGTGACACGGAGGACAGTGGAGGGCAGGGTAGCTCACTCGGAGGTGTTTAACCTCACTCCCTGGGGAGAGGTACAAACGCCAGCGACTGGCGTGCACTCAACAATGTGGCAGCAGTCTGAATCGAGAGCAGGTGAAGCTGTGACCCTTCTGCCTTCTGATCCCAAAATAAAGGGCTGATGTCCATCAGTCCGACCAGAGTGAATTTTCTTGTGGCAGAGCCTGTCTGTGAACATTTTTTTCCCTAGAGCATTCCTACTTGGAAACCCAGCTGTAGGACTGGCTGGTTTAAAGCGGCAGTCACAAGGGTGTTGATTGCAGCGGCACTGAAATCAAAGTTTGCAGCTTCTCACATTGCCTTCCCCATGCCCAAAGCAGAGATATGTGCCCAGACTGGCTCACAGCAGGGCAGCAAAGCGCTTGCCCAAGCAGACTGAAAGCCCCTCTGTCTCAACAGTTTGGCGAGAAAGGCTGTAAATATATAATGTGGACAGAGAGGATTATCCTCACTGAATTATATATCTTCACCAGTTGAGGAGGTATGAGGTCAAAGTAATAATGTTAGTCAGAGCTGAGTAATTTTTTTTTCTGTAAATAGCCCAGGAAATGACTGCCTTTTCAACCAATTCCCCTGATGTGTGGCAGTCGTGATGTGCTGGCTGTGGGTTGGTGCTTCTCCTCTCTGGCTCACTGCTGATCATTTCCCACAGTGGTGCTGCCATCAGATTCTTGAACAGACCCTTTGGGTTGCAACTGAGTCAAGATGCCAAGTCCAAGTCTGCCATTGTAAAAAGTGGCTTGGTTCAGTTCTTGTTATTTTGCAAGTTTTTAATGAAAACCCAAGAGACAGGTGAGTACTGATACAAGGGAAGAGTACACAGATACAGGCAGAAGGAGGAGGGGAGACAAAACAAAGGCTGTTAAAACTGCAGCCTGGTCCTTGCTTAGCTTGCATGTTGGCTTCATCTCTCAGCCCAGAGATTCCAAGGCTTCCAGTGCTGGGTTACAGCTGCCTTTCACCTTTTCAGATTTGTTCACATGGCTCAACTTTTCCAAAGTGAGACAGGTGTTTGGAAAGATGTACTCTTTTTAGTAAATGTGAAATAATCCTCTTGGGAAAGGTCTACTTGCTAACTACCATCTGTCTGTGTCTGACTATCAGATAAATAGCTAGCTGACCTCCAGAATACTTAGCACTTCAAAAAAAGAGTAAAGGAAAATGTTAATTAAGTTAGTATCTGGTATCAGGCATCACAAGTGTGACTGCTGTACACTAACTTCTTCAAAACTTCTCTCTACTAGTTGGGAAAACAGTTTTGTCTCACTGGCAGTAGTGAAACCCTGTTTAGATTCTGATTTACATGTTTGTTCATTGCTTTACTGGCTTCAGGTTGAAACAAGGCAGTGCACTCAGAACTACTACATTTCAGCTGAAACTTAGCTGAAATCCAAAAATCCATTACTAAATATTCCATATGTTTTTTCAAAGTTTAATCATCCATCTCACCAAACTCCTCTTGAGTTTCTGGATTATGATAGACTTTCAAACCAGACATAGAGTTGTGTGCTGCTTGGCTGAGGGAAGCCAGCATCTCAGGTAGTAGGTTACAATGGTTTGACCTCATTGGTCAGGAAACAGGGAAAGAAAGAGGGGAAGATGAAAAACATGTGGTATGGTCCTCTACAGCAATTTTTATCAGGAGTGCTGGTTTCCACAACAGAGACAAGAAGCTATACCAGCCCCACAGCATTCAGTGAGAATTTGAGAACAGCACGTGAGTAGATAATGCATCTCCTTTGCTTCGGAGGAATGTCACAGGGGAGTAATGAAGCCCAACATGGGTGCTGCAAAGTGTAAATGTGGCAGCAACCGAGCAAGTGCTGGGTTGCAAATCTACAGTGATGTGGAGTATCTTGCCAAAAGTACAGCAGCAGGTACTTGGCTGTACCTAGTCCTCAGTTTGTGATGCCTCCACCAAGAACATTAGCTTTGTGGTGCACATTTTCAGTTTTCAATTCAGACTCATCACATGGCCATGCAAAAATTATTACTAAAGATGGAAAAGCTGTGCCTGAGCAGAGGCCAAAAGTCGGGCGGTATAATCTGTACCAGCTTTTAAATACTTAATTCCCTTGTTCAATTGCACTGAGTTAGAAGATAAAGTCTTGAGTCTACCTAGCTGTCAAGGATTTACATCAGCAAAAGAGGAACAAAAAACCATTTGAGTATCCTGGTTTAGGTAGCCGTATTTAATTTAATAATATTAAAATTGAGAGAGTTCCTAGGCAAAAGTAGTGAGTACTGAGGGTAGTTTATAGATGAAATAAGTAACTGAAGAAGCTAAATAAAATCACAGAGCAGCAATGAAACAGTGAGATAATGTGGGACTATAGAAACTGGCTAATGGAACACTGAAAGGAAGCTTCATCAAAGATAAATAAATAAATTGAGTGGACATTTTTTCACAAATCTTTCCTTTTAGAAAATCTCTGTTCAGCAGCAGAAAGCCAGAAAAGACTTTATTTTTTAACATCTTGGTTTGTCTTCGTGGTTTCAGAACGGGTAGGACCTGTCAACATGCTTTTGCATTTCTGTAGCAGTCATCCTTTGGCTGAAGAACAAATGTAGCAGCAGCTTTCCATTTTCTAAATGTATTTTTGGCAGCACTCCAGTGCTTATTTACCCATGTAGAACCCACAACCACACATTTAGGCTGAAGCCTTGTGAGAAATTCTAATGCTTTCACCATCCTGCTCTTGCACAGCTTGCTGGTTGCAATTTTTGCTAAAAGCATGCTGAATTACACTGCTATTTGCAGGAGGTACCGTGCATTGTACCACTTAGCAGCTTCCCTACAGCCGTGCCTGCCTGACCACCAGCTGAGGCATGGCTTTGAAGGGTCCTCAGTCCAGCAGTTGTAATTGAGGCCAATTTTAGAGCGCATGGGCACCAGTGCACCTGCTGAGGCATATCAGCACGTGTCCCTGTGCCCCCCCAGGGCCACTGGGCTCATACAATAGGGATTGCCATTATAGATTCAATCCTTAGAGGCTCTAACACACGCCATTATGTAAGTAATAATAAGTAGTGCTCATCAGAATACTGTGTAGAGCACAGTGCTATGGGATCTCTAAGTGTATGTCCTTTTTTGATATATCACTTTTTAAAATGTCAGATCTACCATGCTTATTCCCATAAAATTAAACACCTAACAAACATGGAGAAAAGAAGAACTGAATTGAATGAATGTCCAAAACTCTCTGTGAATTTTTAGAATGTCCTAAAATTAAGCTGATTTTAGTAGGGTTTTTTAATCTATACTTGAGTGCTCAATTTCAATCAGAACCAGCATAAGAAGGAGATTTTATTGGTTCTGTCTGCTTACTCATTTACATCACTTAACAATGGACTTTTTTTCTTGTCTTTATAAATCAGCAGTTGCACTGGAGATTTTCAGGTATCTCTGTTATTTCATTAGTTGTTCACATCAGAGAAAAGCAAAAGGTATAAAATAGCCACAGATGAGCCTAATGAAGCAGTGATGTACGGGCTTGTAAGGTAATTGAAGAGTATTATTTCTTTTTGTACAGATCTGAATGCTTCTACCACTGAA